TTAATGGATAAGTCTAGGGTACAGGTACTTATGGACAAGTGGAATATGGGAAGATGAGGCTTAAAGAATAAGGGGTTATCTAAGGCAGGGGGATATGGTGCCAGAAAAAAGAAAAACCTTATGTCATGCTAAGAGTTTAGATAATAGCTTGTAATATTTTCAGGCAGAGGCTTCATAAGATAAATTTTACATTTTAAACAGATCTCTCATTTTTCTTTTCCTTTCTTTCTTATTTATTTATTTTAAGACAAGGTATTGCTATGTAGTGATCCTCCTGCCTCACCTTCTGAGCCACAGGAATTATAGGTATGCACCACTGTGCCCAGTCTTTAGGTTGAACCAAGAATTAAACCCCAGCCTCTCCTGTGGTCACAGCCTGTGGAGTACTGTATCCTAGCAATGTGAATGATCATGACTGGGCTGATAGATTTTTCTATTGGTGATGTGAAAGATGGAGAGGAGTCCTGTAGAGAAAATGTGAAAGTTTAGTATCAGGCACAGTGATTGAAGGAGAATTGGGACACATGTGAGAGAGCTCTAAGACATGGCATCAGTAAGATTTATGAGTAAATGCAGATGAGGTATCTTTGAATACCTTAAAATGATCAAGTCTAGAAGGCCTGTATGAGCATAGCTTTCATGATACCACCATTGCATTTATTCACTCAACAAGTGGAAGCTATTCACTTCAGAAACACCTATTACCTTGGGAGTAGGTGCAGGGACCTTGGGTTTCCAAAGCAGCCATGTCTAATATCCTCCTGCCTAAGTGGCATGGGATACACTGCCATGCATACCCTCAGGGAAGCATGCATCTTTCCCTCACTGCTCATCCCCACAGAGCACAGTCACTAGTGCTCTGTCCCAACTGTGCTCCAGGCATCCCCTGATCCTTTAGCAGCATCATCCCCTCACCTGCCAATCTCAGAAACCTGCCTCTGCTGCCCTCACTCCAGAGCAGATGTAGGCCTAGGCAAGCTGATCAGAGTGCTGGGGTGTAGGGATACATGATGAGGCGTGCAGCTCAAAAGAATTCTGGAAAGAATCTTTACAATCTGGCTTGTGCTCTTGGCTCCAGGCAAACTGAATTACAGTGGACCCTCTGTATCTTTGGGTTCCACATACATGGATTCTACCAACTGCAAATTGAAAATGATTTCTAAAAAAGAATAATAATATAGGGGCCGGCAGTTGGCATGGTGGTTAAGGTGCTGGACTCCCATATGGCTGACTGCAGTTCAAGTCCTGGACCTGGTGGCTTACTTTCTCACTTTCCTTCTTTCTCTCTCTCTCTCTCTGTCTCTCTCTGGGTTAAATTTAAAATAATAATAATAATAAATATAATTAAATAAGTATTTAAAAAATAACAATACAACAATAAAAAATAACACAAATTAAAAACCAATACAGTATAACAATTATTTGCATAGCACTTACATTGTATTAGGTATTGTAAGTAATCTAGAGATGATTTAAAGTACATAGGAGAGGGAGCAGCAGTTAGCGTAATGGCTTTGTCACTGTACTCCCATGAGGTCAACTGTGATTCGAGTCCCAGACCCAGTGGCTTAAACTCACGCTGGGCGCGTGCGCATGCATGCCCACGATCCCTAGAGGAGAATGGAGGAGAAGGGACTGCAGCATGGCCATCCCCCTAGTGGGTGATTTCTCGCTTTCTGCCTCTCTATCTCTCTCTGTCTTTCTGGCGAGTGCACACACCCTATAGCAAAAACCTCTCAAAATAAATAAATAAATACATAGGAGAATGTGCAAAGGTTATATGCAAACTCTATGCCATTTTATATAAGGGCCTTGACATCTGAGAATCTTGGTATCCACAGTGTCCTGGAACCAATCACCCCACATACCAAAGGCCAACTCTACCTGCCAGTTCCCAACCTCCCATGCAATGCTCCCATCTCCAAGCTTTTGCTCATGTTGTTCTCTAGCCTCTTACCAGTCCAACTTCTCTCTATTGCCTTCCCTGATCAACCTCAGGAAGTGCTTGCTGGCCCCTCTGCATTTTGAGTGCATTTTACTTACCTCTTGATTGTCCCTGTCAAGTATTGGCATATATTTCAGCTCCCTACGTGTATCATCTTTCCTACTGTTAAAAGTCCTTGGAGAACATGTTCCCTAGCTTGGTCATATTTGTATCCTCCAAAGAGTTCATAATAGTTCATAACATGTAGAAGCAACACAGGCTCAGTAAATGTATGTGGAAAGGAAGGAAAATAAAAGGAATATATGGGACCAGCAGATGGCATAATGATTACATCACTGGACTCTTGCAGAGTCGACCGCAGTTAAAGTCCAAGACCCAGTGACTTAAAACTCATGCCAAGTGCGTGTGCATGCATGCCCAAAATCTTGAGGGGGAAAAATAGAGGAGAATGGATTGTGGTGTGGCCACCCCCCGACGGGGTGATTTCTCGCTTTCTGTCTGTCTTTCCAGCGAATGCATGTTCCCTATAGCAAAAATCTCTTAAAAAAAAAAAAAGCAGTATATAACTTCTAGACCTTATTAGGAGAGGTAGTATTTCAGAGTAATGTAAAAAAACCTGAGATTAATTTCAATTTCTGTTTAACTATTTTTATTCATAAAATATATATGAATATATTTAAAATATAAAATTACTTGGCCCCTCAGGTTTTCTGCTCAACCGTCATGAACCATAATGCAACAAGGCGTTTGAATGAAAGACAACTGTGCCTTGCTCCTTTTGACTGATCCAATCTAGATTCTCAATGTGTTTAACTCTTGATTCTGAAGCAGAGAAAAGTTTTAATTTCTGTTTTTTACACTCATAAGTTCTTCATTGAGATCCTCTCCTAAAACAAGTCAGAATAACAAAAGGAAACAGGCAAAAGTTCATTTTATTGCATGTTATGGCCACATGAGGAAGAGGCTTACATATAAAAAAAAAAAAAAGAAAAGAAAAGAAAACCTCTTAGGCCACTCATGGCTTGTGGTTAAGGTGGCTGAATCCCAAATGGCTGACTACATGGTTGAAGTTCTGGACCTGGCATGCCCAAAATCCTAAAAAGAGGGAGAAATGAAAGAGAAGGGATTATAGCAGGACTAGACCCATGCCCCATAGGTGGTGGTGGGTGCAGGACTTTCTCATTTTCTATTTCTCCCCTCGCCCCCGTTTCTCTCTGGGGAGCACACAAACCCTCTGAAAAATTTAAAAACAAAGAAAAAAAAGCATCTCTCAAAGCAATGACTTGGGGTCTCACCTTATACAGTATATTGGACAAAGAACAATAGAAGTGCGAGGACAAAGGACCAAGTAGTTCCCAGCTTCAGTGGCAGGGAAACTGAAAAGGTAGTTAAACCTCCCTTCCAAATTCCACTGAGCTTGTTGGTGCCTTCCTGGGCTGATCAGTAAGCTGTTTCTAGCAGGGAAGATTATGGTCCTGCACTCAGACAGGAAATGTAGGGAGATAGTTCCTCTGCACTTTAACCGTCTTCGGTTTAACGATCCTCAGTATTTTAGGGAGGGCTATTTTGGTTTCCTTTGATCCCCTTTGCCGTTCTCTTAGTATGGGACAGAGCCTGATTCCATATAGAGCTCTGAGTCATTACATCTTATTAAATCTTGAGCCATGATTCAGGCATAATACTACTTGGCATAGGTTTACAGATTTTAAAATAAAAATCTGGAGCCAGCAGGTGGCATGGTGGTTAAGAGTCTGGATCCCATGGAGCCGACTGTGCATTTGAGTCCTGACCAGGCAGCTTGATAAACATGCTGGGCACATGGTACATGTGTGCCCAGAATCCTGGGAGGGAAATGGAGATGAAAGGATTTTGGTGTGGCCATCTCACCTGGAGGGTGATTTCTCCCTCCTTCCTCCCCCCCCACCCACCCCCCCACAAGTACACATGCCCTATAGCCAAAAAAAGTCAAAATCTAGCTTAGTGTTTGACCAAGGGCTTGTGAATATTTTATCTTCTCACTGACCTTGAGAGAGGCAACATAAAAAGCGTACTTGTTTACCTTCAAAATGTCTTCATAGTAAGTCAGCCATCTTTACAGAAATAAACATTCTGAAGCAATTTTTATAAGGCTTTCTTTCTTTAAAAATTCTCTTACAGATTTCTAAGTCTGATCCTGACTTAATTGCTCTTCATAAATATAAATCCACAGAAACAAAAAAATCTATTTCCCATTTATAAGAACAGCCTGTGTGCCTTTCTGGTTAAAGGAGGGCCCTGGATTCAGATAGCCTGGGCCCAACTCCTAGCTCAGCCATTCACTGTGTACCTTGGGCAATCTATTCTTTCTTTATTTAAAAAATAATTTTGCTATAGGGACGTGCACTCTCCTAAGACAAACAGAGATAAAGAGGGGGGAAAGTGAGAAAGTACCCCCTGCAGAGGATGGCCATGCTGCAGTTCCTTCTCCTCTATTCTACTCTTGGGATTTTGGACATTCACATACATGCTCAGGCACATGACGATATCTTTTTCAAGTCACTGGGTTCGGGACTCAGAGTGTGCAGTCAAGTATATGAGATACAGCTGCCTTAACCACTGTGCCATCTGCTGGCCTTGAACAGTCTATTCTAACTTCTCTGTACTTCCCTCTTCTCATCTGTAAAATGAGAGTAGCCATAATATCTGCCTCACAGGAGTGATGTGTCTAAACGAACTAGCATGCCCATACAGTGCGAGAAACGTGCTTGACACATAGTAAACACTCAATAGAACTATTTGTTACTGGGTTTTTATGCTGTGCTCAAATACAAATCCACTATTATGTAACTTTTTTCATAACTACTTGAGTGACAAAGATGTAAAACACTGATTCTAAGCAATCACAGGAAAAGATGTCTGAATTTTTTTTCAACAGTGCACTAAACCAAGACATGTCATTCTACAGAGCATAGGAAATATATCTTCTTAAGATATCAAGCTATAATGGTAAACATGTTTATTTTCTTCATGGAAAAAGTTAGGCTCTTCAAAGAAATTATTTCATTTCTTTTCACAGATATGACAGCCATGCAGGACCTCTTGCATCCATGAGTGGAACTGCTGTGGTAAGTAGCCAGAAAATAAGGGTTACACTCAGAAATTCAGAACTAACGTAATTCCAGGTTGTCTATCTATTCCAATAGCATTCTCCTTGGCTCTTTTTTTTTTTTTTTTTTTTT